ATTCTTTTTGCAATTAAAGCAAGATATCTTGGAAGGCAAGCTTCAGTGTCCTCACCAAGTTACAGTTCAGTTAGCTGCTCTGGCTCTTCAATGTGAGTACTTAAACAATATCTTCAAAATTGAAATTAAGCTATTATCATTAGAATGATTATCATATGACAAATGATTATTGTATGTATTAAAAGATAAAATTCTTATTCTAGCTGAACTAGGAGATTACGATCCCACTATGCATAGCGCCGCGACTGTCTCGGAGTTTCGTTTTGTGCCAGGTCAAACAGAACAAATGGAATTGGAGATATTGGAGGAGTACACCAAGTGTAGCGGTCTCACTCCAGCTCAAGCGGAATCTACTTATCTAAGCAAAGCCAAATGGCTGGATATGTATGGCGTCGACATGCACACCGTACTTGGAAAGGATGCCTGCGAGTATTCTTTGGGTTTAACTCCAACCGGAATTCTGGTTTTTGAAGGTACGCAGAAGATAGGGCTTTTCTTTTGGCCAAAAATTGGTCGTTTGGACTTCAAAAAGAAGAAACTGACGCTGGTGGTCGTGGAGGAGGACGACGAGGGCAGAGGCGAGCAGGAGCACACTTTCGTATTTAGACTGGTGAATGAGAAAGCCTGCAAGCATCTGTGGAAATGCGCGGTGGAGCATCACGCTTTCTTCCGTTTGCGTGCGCCGGTCAAGGGTGCCAACGGCCGTCAGAACTTCTTCCGCATGGGTTCGCGTTTTCGTTATAGCGGTAAGACGGAGTTTCAGACAACGCAGCTGAATAGAGCGCGCCGCACTGTGCAATTCGAACGAAGACCGAGTCAAAGGTATGCACGACGACAGAGTCACGTTCTTCGCGAGCGACAGCGTCAACAGCAACAAGTAGAACAACCACAGCCATCACCGCCTCCAGGTAAGATATAACAAAATATATTGTATTATTTATGATACATGTAATTCAAAATCGTATTTTAAAATCTTTTTTGCTTAATTGATTAAGAAAAAGAAATTTTGTGATAAGTTGCAGTTTAAAAATACACAATTCGAAATAAAATCTTTAATTAATTTTAAACGAATTTCACATCGGTAAAATTTTGAAAAATATTCTCTTACATTTAGATATTTAAAATATTTTAGAATTCATAAAAAAACATAATATTCAATTAAATTATAATACAAGAAAAATTATTAATATGTTAAGCAATATCTTAGTAGGACACATCATTTTTGGTTCATTTTTTATAAGGATGAATTTTAAAAATATTTTTAGCCGAGGAAGAATCCTTGCAGCGTCAGCCGAGTCGGTCCAGTACAAAATCCAGTACGGACTCGTCGAGCGTTCAAGGCACGTCGTCACCTTTGGTAGATTCTTTGCTGAAATCTCTCGCTAAAGATCAGCAACCTCTGGAAGCTAGGAACCAAACGACGGTGGTCAGCAGCGATAAGGAGTCAGAGCCTATGAAGACCAGTTTGACAGTTGAAACTATCACCAGTCAAGTGCAGCTAGTGCCTAACAACCAAGTGGGTGGAACATTGTCGTTGCCCCCTCGAACACCGATTCCACCGGAATCTCTAAAGTGTAACATATTAAAAGCAACTCTCGAGCAAGGCAAGAATTCGAATTTGGTTTCCATCACGCCCACAGATGGATCAGGGGCGATCGCGAAGAAGAATCAACATTCGGATGCTGCGACTATCGTTTCCGTGGTAAGCCTTGTCAAACTTTCATCGCATTTTTATAGTTATTTTATAGTTATTTTGTCCCGCTTTATTTTCATGTTATACAAATTACATATAATTATCATGTTTTTTTTCATTTTCTTATTTTATTTCTTTTGAAATTGTATATTTTTCTGTATATTTGTATTCAATATCATATAATACAATTTTCAGTGTTAGAACAGCTTATTAAATGATAATTTTGTTATATTGTTGTTTGTGTCTACACATTTATTCTGTTTGCTTTTTGCCAACTAGCTGCCAGCCATAATATGTATTTGCTTTCTTGCTTTTTCCATCAAATAGGGCGGCGATAAATTAACCCTCTCGGTGAGCGGCGCGACGACAGCGGTAAATAATCCTTCTATAGACGATGCTGTAACTGTAACGCATTTTTCGCTGGACAGTTGGGGACAGATCGAACAAAAGACGACACCGTTAAGTCCGAAAGTGTCGAATCAATCGCAAAATCCTTTCAATCCATTCACTAACGATACTAGCAATGACACGTCTAATGCACACGAAGTAACTTCCGAGGAGGAAGTGAAGCCGGAAGACGATAAGAAAAAGAATACCAATCCATTCATAGACTCGAATCCGTTCTTGGGCATACTCAATCCTTTCAAAGATTTACAGCCAGTTACAACGGAGAAGAAAGTTGAAGTGGATACAGAAAAAGCCGGAGCACGTGTCGTTAAAACTGAAGAAATACAGACAACTACTACAACACTCACACACAAGGTCAGTTATATTTCTTACGCTTGCAAGCTGCTATAGCGTCCCATCTATTACAAAAATGTATCTTGGTTTCACCAAAAAGATTTACTTTTAAAACATACTTAGAAAACTTATTATTGAGCGTTAATTGAAAGAAAAACAAAAACATTTTATTCTAAGCATAACAATAAATATATAGATAGGTAGATCTTATTGGTGAAAATGTGTAATGAGAAGTTGTTCTGTCTTTCATGTAAAAATCATCTTTGTGCGTGCAAAGTATTAAACATTGTGAATTTATTATTTGAAACCTACGTTAAAGTTCTGTCATCGGCATCATTGCAACTGCACAAGCACGACATTTTTAAAAATTAATATATTATGTAATTAAATATTGATAATTACAATTTTAATAATAACAATAATGAGAAAAAATTCTGATTATAAACTTTTTTTCTATAGGATGAAAGTCAAGCGGCATCAGACATTAGTCCCTGGTTGGTCGCGGATCCTTCGCAGAGTCCAACACCTGATCAAACACCAACTAAGCACACAGTCGTCACGAGAAAGACGGTAATTACCACACAGTTATAAAATATTTATTAAGTACAAAGAGGAAATATAATGTTGATGTACAACACGCGAGGAAATAGCACCAACGTGTATATTTACTCTAATCTTCCATGGACTGCCAGCATCTCTTTTACGCGAAACATTTATAGAATGCATAATGTTGATGACATGACGATTAAAATTGAGTACAGAAGAATGAACTACTTATTAAAAAAATACTTTTCGATCCGAAAGGATCCTAAGTTGTACTTAAATATGCAAGAGCAGCATACCATTGGGAAGGCATTAAGTCATTATTATAAATTTCTGTGTCGGTTAATAAGAGTCATTTTATGACGACCACACAAGGATTTGCGTGTCGAAGCAAATATCTATATATCGCACTTCCTAAATATTTCTTAATTCTATAATGTTAAATTAACAAACTTACACATTGATAAAATAAGTGTCCTTATCGCCCCTGCCAATATATTTAAACATATAAACAAGAGGTCTATTCGTTTTAACTATACATGTTTTCTTTCTAAAATTTGATATTTTTTTTCTTCCTATTAAACATTTTCGCGTGTTTCGCTTTAAATGCAAATAGAGTATAGCTAAAACGAACAGACTTACATATTCCATGGAACAACATGTATTGTCCATGTTTGAATCCACGCATTTATAAAGTAGCGTTTTTGTACTACTAATCACTGTGCCTTAAAATTTAATATGAGATGAACAAATATGCGATTATTAGGAAATAACAAAAATCCTGTATTCGCCTTGTGACTGATTAAAAGTATATAAATATTATATACTCATTATGTAATGGCATATAAATTATATAAATAATTTTTATATAAGAGTATATAGATCTGACTAACAATAAGACTTTTTAAAAACAGTTTTATCGATTAGGAGTTATAAATTTTTTATAATTAATCAATTGAAGAAAAAAAATAATATTGATTCTACTTTTTTAAGTGATATTTTTGTCGATAATATATTTATATATAATATACACTAATGACAATAAAACCGATAAACGAATAAAGAATAAATATGAATCATTGCCAGTTTTAAATAAAGCACAACTTGTGCCTCAGTTTGGTAGCTATAATGATATAAATATTCTTTTTTTAATATTCCACATTTATGAAAATAAAATCTAATTTTTATGTATATAGTAGAGTATATTATATTCTCCTGAAATATATGTTTTTTATTTGTTCCTTCTTGATTCATATATTTTTCTCTCATGCCATAATTTTGATACGAATTATAATAGATATATCGCAAAAAAATCTATGTTTATTAAATATAAACATATATACGGAATGTTTCAATTCTCTCTGTATAATGATAGCATTCCATTGCTCCAATAGCGATATAATTGTTGCGTCGAAGTGATATGCAATATGCAATATGCAATATTTAAACAATGCATTTAATTATACTTAATAGCATCATATACTTAATTAGCATTTGAATATTTGTTATAAAGAAAGAAAGAGCAACTGTCCTCTTCAATTGATTCTCTTTTATGTTATGTTTCTGTAAAATTAAAAACTACATAAATCTAAACATTATATTTAATATACAATATTTAACATATGTTTATTGCAACATATCATACTTGAATATGTGTTTTATTAAATTTTATTTAATGTCAAGAAATGTGAGCGGAGATATATATATATATATATATATATATATATATATATGTATATATATATATATATATATACAGGATGTCCCAGTTATCTTCCGTCATCTTTCAAAGACAGATTTCCTGGGATCATCTGAAGACGATTTTTCCTCAACGACAATGTCGAGGCACTAATAATTTTCGAATTACAAGTGATTGGAAATAAGGAGTTTTTTGTAAACTAAGCTTTGTAGAAATAAAATATAAACAAAACTACATTCTTTGATTAATTTTAAATAGAGTTTACTTTAGTTGAATTTTAATTGAAGACTTAATTGTAAAGATATATGATGACAAAAATCGGGAACATGCAAAAAATGATGGCTTTCATTGACATTTTCGCTGAGGAAAAATCGTCTTCAAATGATCCCAGGAATCTGTCTTTAAAAGATGACGGAAGATAACCCTGTATGTATATATACAATAATATACAATTTCAAAGCTAATATATCCATATATACATATATATTTATGCAGTATTGTATTGAGTTGTCGATACCCTGATGTATTCCGTCCTAAAGTGTCCTATACTTAATGTTATGTAATTTTCGCTTTTTAATAAAACAAACATATTATTATAATACATTTTCTGTATTTTTCTCTCTTCTGTGATTATTAGTATATCATCAGTCTCGATAAGAAAAAAAAATACTATTAATGAATAAAAGAGTGCTAAAATGAATACATCTTGATTAAATGCCTACTATAATATTTAAATTGCTTACAAAAAAAATTTTTGAAAGTAAATATAAGCGATATAGGTAAATCGTCATAATGTATATGTTATTTTTGAGACATCTTTCTACATCTATTCAATAGAACTGTATTAGAGATGAACTTCCATAAATTGTACTAAATATAAATACAGTTTAATAGATAATTTAATAGATAATGTGTACTTATTGGTCGTTCGGATTATCTCTTTTTTTTTTAATATTCTCTTTCAATGTTTATTATTTAAATTATCTTTTTGCACTGGCATTACGAATTGACGTAAACCGATTATTGGATTCGGGATTGACACTATATATTGAAAAAAGTTCTTTGTCTTCTCTTTTTAGTACATTTCAGTAATACAAAGAAAAATATTGATAAATATTTGCATTCATAAATGCATTAATATTTTGTACGGAATGTCATTTCATCATCGTACGAGTCTTTTCATTAAATTAAAGATTATTGCACAACAATATGCGCAAAAAGGCATTCGTCAGCTTCACTAAGTGGATGAACACGTTTTTATTTTATTTCTAGAAAAAGTTCTCATATGCTGTCTATTTGCTCTATTTACATGTGTGAAACCGGTATCTTATCTCGATACTTATCATTAAGACATAAGTACATATATCGCATTTATAGGCCTTTTCTATAGACGATAGTCGAAGTCATCTCTTCATCTTCAGACTTTGTACCTCAGTCAAACATGTACTGCGAGTTGTTACACATTAGAGCATATCCGAAACTCGGATGGATATCAGACAGGCGTTTCCGGATTATCCCATTTCACATTGGTATCTTGACGAGGTGGCGATTGCGGATCGTTCGAGGACTCCCGTATTACGAGACTTGCAGTGTCAGAGTAATCTATATCTATACAATGTTCCTTATCCCGCGGTAAACTCCTATTGGATGAAGGTGAACTGCTGTTCTCCGCGCTGTGTTTGAAGACGCTATCCGACTGCGAGTGTGTTGGCGTAGACATTTCAGATACCAGAGGCGTGGACTCGTCGTCACTTTCAATAGGTATCGAAGAAGACTCCGTTGGTACGGTGCTGATCAGGCGGTCCTTGAACTTCGACAGTTTCTCTATACTGGAAGTGGACACCGTTATCACTATTTCATCGTTCAATGTTGAGATCGAACGTCTCTTCTTAGTAGGTACCGACGACGTAGTTTTCAGAGGTATATTGTTTCCCATAAATTTCTCGTCAGTCGATTTGGATCTAAACGCGGGTTTCGGCGACGGTGGTGGAGAGACAAATAGCGAGGATGGTCTGGTGATGCTGATGCTGCTGCTAGTTTTTTTCGGGGGCTTGTGCGAATAGGCGGATTTCGTACTGTGTTGGGACGCGATGCTGCGCTGAGAATTGGTACGTTGAAGAAACACGGTGGAGTCATGCGAGCTATCGTCTGAGCTAGCCGGTTCATCGTTAATCGGCGTCCAGCGAAATAGCGGACTAGCTTGAAGCAGTACATAGTCCGTGTCGTGAGTCGAGTTGGTAACGGGTCCTAAAAACAGAAGCTCATGTCATATTTGTTTCGTATTGTTTAATTATCGTACTATATAATCGATTAGATATTCTCTTTTAAATTTGTTTATGAACCTTTTGCATAGTCATCTACTGCGAGATACTCGATGAAGTTATATCTTTTGAAAAATGGATGAATTCTTTGCGAAATATTTCAAGGAATATGTCAAGCTGTTGATGAAAAAAAAAATATTTATTTTAATTCCAACTTAATTCTTTTTAATTTTAATCTTCAATCTTTGAAGTAGCGCTTCGATTACAATTGAGAATGCGATTGAAGGCCTAAATATGAACTGCAAAGAAAATGTCAGATATGGAGAGTTTGCAAAAAGATTTTATTGCCACTTCCTCTTGTAGTAACATAATACTGCTCATATAACATAATGCTAGCAATCTAATACTAATATTCGTAGTGTGTATTCATAGTACAGGAAGTATAACGTGGACCGGAATAATATGGACGCAATATGTATATATATATATACATATAAATATATATATATATATATATTTAATTATCGCCCAAATGAACGGTTATCTTACACATATAATTGTTTTAAAAATATATCATTATAACTCGTACTTCACGATTAGCATAAACATTTTTTACAAGAAATATTTGTTCTGTCAATAGTAAAATAACGCGTAATTTATCACAGTCTTTATGAAGGAATTATTCACTGAAAATACAGAAAACATAATTTTAAAAGTCGACATTTTTGACATTTTTACTTTTTTTTTTATATCATATGCATACAAATGCAATGGCTTTTTCTTAGAATGATCAAATGCATTGGATGCTTAACACTGCACAATTTTAAAGTTTTTCATGTATAATGCAATTCTCCGGTTCTTTTTTTATGTGGCATTGATATACATCAACATTAAATTAAACTTATAAAATGAATATATTATATTACGCTAATCCTACAAGTACGCATACAATAATGATTCTATTTCTATCGTTAAATAGCCTCCACATTTTGGATACCTTTGTCGCACGATATGTATAACTACCTGTTTTTTCATATTGGCACATGAAAATTTTATATTTTTTTCAGAAAGGATAATTTCTTTCATTCATGCTTTAAATGAAAGAGATTATCTGTTGTAAATAAAAATGATAGTCTCTCTTCGCTAACTTACAATTAGGAAATCTTACATTATATTTTTATAATCGTCATCTTTTTATTTGAATTGCCTATATATATATATATATATATATATATAGGTATTTTATCAGTAATACTGTCAGGTAATCTATTTTATCAGAATACATATATATATATATATATATATATATATATATATATATATAATGTACAAATAAGGTTGTAAAATGAGACAAAAAATTATTCTTTTTCTTCTTTTTAACATCATAAATTGGCAAGCACCATTCTCGAATGCAATGATAACGTTGCAACGATAAGTCGTTGTATTTTTCGATGTACAAGTTATACCGAAAAATATTCTTTTCTGCAATATTATACAACGCGAGCGATTTATTAGGCAAATATATACATCGTCACTATGTCCTAATCTCAAACTCAGACTAATAGTTAGCACCATATTCAATAGAGGTGTCACTGTTTTGATCAGATTGCGGTGGTTCTTGCACTATGACGACAGGCAGTGTATGTAGGGAAGTAGGCTCACCTGAAGAAAGTGAGTCTGTCGTTGGTGCCACTGTTGATGGTGGCACATCTAATACATCTTCGCAAGCTTCTTCGTTCAAGGTCTGCAGTGCTCCACATATCATTTGCTCTTCTAACGTTACCTGAAATATGCATACACATTTTAAAACAGATATTTTAAAATATCATATCTTGTATATGTACTAGATGAATATTAAAATAAAATTACTAAAATTTACAAAAATTATCTTTCTTAAAATAATTTAGCAACTCTTACCTGGAACTAATATACCGAAGACGAATGTGAGTAAACAAGAGAATTACGTATTAAATTTTACAAAATATACATATTAATTATAATATAAAAATTATCATTAATTTATTTATAAACCAACGTATATAAATACATATATTATTAATATAATAGTTTGTTATTTTTTTTCTTAATAGACTTTATAACTTTGTTTGAGGCATACCTGTTTTTCCATGATCGATTGTTTATTTTGATCACGGCGGGGCGGTCCGTCTGTTCTTGATGTTCCTTTCTCTTTCTCTATGTGAGCAGGCATACGCATCGAATTATTTTCACGCAAAGCGTGATCTATAATAAGTAAGATTGAATTATTGATTGATTACCAAATAAGAAACAAGTAGAGAAATGAATGTCGAGCACACCTTTCCGTGAAACTTGTTCAGATCCTACAGTAAATCGCACGCTTCGAGGACCCTCCTCGTATGTGAAGGATGAAAGTTCCATTTCTCTTAGTGACACAATTACCATACGAAATAATTCCCAATCCCCAAAAGTCATCTTAAACACCTAGAAAAACATAAGTACATTTGTAAAATTTTCTCTCTTTCTTTGAAGTATAAAGAAATAGTGTTACAAAAAAATTACTTTTTTTAGTTCTTGCAAATCGCAATGTAATAAAACTCGGCCGTTGATGTTATTCTCTTTGACAACTTGTTTATATATTGATGTTTGAGTCGTGTCAAGACTATCGATCTTGTCGATCAACTCACAAATCCCATTCACTGATAAGGATGAGAGTTTTATCTCCAAAATTTCAGGCTATGAATAAAGACAAAGTAATAAAACAATATTTTCTCAATCGTAAGAAATAGGACTATAATTAATAATTGTACAATTAATTAATTGCATACCGGTAATGTAGTTGTTACCGAAAGCGGTTTCGGCGTTGGTTCCATGGGTGGCATTTGTACCCAAGTTGATGGATTCCATTCGAAGCTTGGTTGATAACCCCATGATGGCGTGGGTGGTACAGATCCCTGCACACTCGATTGTTTGACAAGTTTCATATGCCGATTCATCGTCATGCCTTTTTGCGGAACCCATTGCTCAGCTGGAGCACCATGCCAGATACCAGTTTGTTTATAAAGATTCGCGTCTTCCTCGATGCTTTGTTGTTCCTCTTTTATCCTCTTTTTGATATAAGGGTCTAGGTTAATAGTGAACGGCAAGAATATTTTCATATCGCTGATAAGCAAACTGGCTCGATGAAAAGTAAGGAAAACGTCTAGCTTGCGTTCATCCCTATCTATCTCGAGAAGTGGTTGCACTTCTTTTAACACCGGAATTTGCGGTCGCACTCTACAAATAAATAAGACATAGTAATATACAAAAAAAAAGAGAAGAAAAGGAAAAGTATAAATTCATCCATACTTATCGTAAAGACTTTTTAGTGACATATTATCATCTAGGGTCTCCTCGTACATATCATAATGAAGAATAAGCCAAGATGTTCGGAAAGGCCATTGTTCGGTAATATTGATCCAACTAGCTAGATGATACCAGTTGAAATCAATTTGGAATGCTTTAAGTAATCGCCCTAGAAAAGAAAGAAAAGCATAAAGGTAGTATATATACATGAAATAATCACGTAGATGTTGCGCAACTCAATGCAATATTACCAGTAACATAAACGACATTCATCAATCTTCTCATACTACGTGGATTTACGTCGCTGAAGTAATCGTCAGTAAGCAGCATTTTGTTAAGATCCTGTGCACCGCCTAACCGATTTAGATTACTACCGATACTACTAGCAATCGATTCACTCAATCGTAATTTTCTGCTGCCTTTCCTAGTCTGAGGTTTCAATTTTTCGTTGCTATTCATTACCGCGGATTCCGAACTAAGTCTCCTATTGGATACCGAATGATGCATAGTGCTAGTCGCGGTATAATTGACGCTTTCCTCAGCCTCCGACCACACCGTCTTTTTACAGTATTGAGCAGTCTGTTGCGCGACCTTGACCTTACGTAAGCCGCTGTTTTGCAAGTAAAACGGTAAATGCACTATATTTCGCAAATAATCGTGACCACCAATATTCGATTCCGAGAATAATCTTCTGCTATTTACCTCTACTGCCTACATCGAAGAATAATTTTTATTATTATCGAATCATTTTTATTATTATCGAAGTCTTAAAGATAACATAATTTTCTAGCTGCTTACCTTAGCTATAATATGTGGGTCAATCGCTAAGATTACAACAAAGGGATATCCGTTATCGCTAAATAAGGCTTGTATAGCGTCCAAAACTAGTAAAACTTTATCTTGTTCACAACTGTCCAGACCATCCACTATTATAACTAGTCTACTTTGTTGAGCCTTGAAACTATCCAAGCACTTGATCTATTTAAAGATTATGATTAAAGATTACATTGCTAATTCTAATAATTCTAATTATCATCAACAAACAGGTAATTTACCATTTCCGTCATTAAATTGACTTCACTTTTTAATGTTTGAATAAATCCTTCGCTTTTTAGAATCTCTAGTTTTGAGATGCTACGTTGAAGATGTCTCCTCTGTGAGAAAACTAATGCTTTTAACATTCTGCTCCATGTATAGAGATTCGCTATTATACTGACGGCCAAAATCAAGCCAATCGTGATCATGATGATATGAGCAGTGGCTCGATCTATCCTGGACCTAAATGCAATTTAATATGTAAGATTGTGTATATATTCATTTAAAACATTGAATACATGATTACTCACTCGTTGTTCGATATGTCTAATAAATATACCGTGAGCACGGAAAGACCGATGAGCAGGCTGCAAAAACAGAATTCGAATATGATTATATATGGCAAGCAACATAGATGCCTCCATTTCCACTTGGTCGTCGATTTATCCGGTTTCGGCCGAAACGCTCTGTATAACCTGGTTGAAAACGAACCAAAATCGTTCTCAATTGAGTCGTAAAGCGAACTGATCATTTGGACTATTGCGTTCTCGCCGGCGGCAGTTGTTCCTACGCGAGTTTGATCAGTGAAATAAAATTTAATCGGTTGCACGGCTATACTATCATTACTCTGACCGGCTGGTGGATGACAAAAGATGATTTGTAATAGTAGTTTTAGCGCGTTTAGTTTTATGGTGAGTGCCACTGTTAGATTATATGGCCAGTACCAATCGTATCTGTAATTAAAATGTCGTTTCTGATGAGGATATCAAATGAAAAATTATATCTTTTGCTTTTTTTTCCGCATAAATCTTACCTCTTATAAGCATGCCAAACAAGTAGCAGAAATATATAAACGACAACTAATAAACTTATCCCGCACGATAAACCGATGACCCATGATTGTAATGTGAGACCTATGATAAGACCCACTACTAAGGATATGTGGGCTACTACTAGAAAGAGCAAGAAAGAAAACTGGAATACTGGATCTATCCATTGTCGTGCAAAGTTTTTCATTTCCTCTGTAAAGAATAATCGTTATTGTTAATTTTGTAAAAAAGTTTCTCACATAAATTGAATATGTAAACTACAGTCATGTATTCTAATATTCAAACATAGAAATTTAATTTTTATTTGCTACACAAAATATATAAATATAATGTTAAAAAATAGAGATTATGGCCTTTTATTAAATTAATATTTTATTTTATATTAAATTATAATTTTTAAATATTTTTGTAAAAGAAAATTTACTCCAAATTTACATTAAAAATATTAGTTTTAGAACGAATACTTCTGAGATAGAACTTTATTTGACGATACCTTTCAGTTTGTTTAATAGAAATGACTTTCCAGAACCCCATTTTGCATAAAGACCGACAGTCATCGGTGTAGAAAGTGATGGTTCACTGAGAATATCTGCCAGCGCGCTGCTATACAAGTCGTAACCAAGCATATTCTCATTATCCTCGTTAGTATTTAAACGTCCTATAATATATTATTATAAATTATTTTATAAATAACATTATAAATATTATTCTATAATATATTATAAATTGTTTTATAAATAACGTCAGAAAATTAAACATGTCTCCTTCAATGTATGTGTCCTTCAATGTATGTATGTCTCCTTCATTGTTTGTATCAATGGAGAAATAATGGCATGCGATCTAATTTAAAACTTACGAGCGCCAAATATCTGTCCAAGAATCGTCTTGGGATGATTGACGTCGATGTTGTAAGGTGTCTCGCCTTGTCTATTCGGACGGTATAATAATTGGCTATTCTTTGGATTCCTCAGTAGTATTTCGACGATCGCTTTCGATCGTGCTCGCATCGCCACATGTAGTACAGTGTCGCCCTTCTTGTCCGCAGCCGAGACCTTGGCTTTTTTGTCTAAAAGCAATTGCACGATTTCGGCGTTACGCGACCTCACCGCCCTTAATAAAGGTGTGTCGCCATCTTTCGTAGCAATCTCCAGGTCTGGGTTAGCATTTAGTAATAATTTGAGTATCGGTACATTGCCTTTCTCTACTGCTATGTAAGTTGCGGTTTTTTTATCCTAAAATATATACGGACGGGATAGTTAGTTAGATTTTAAACCAAACTTCTTTTTTAGCTAACCACGGGAAAATCACGTGCGAACCTAACTCGAAGTGGCTTACGGGTACCATGAAACTGAATTTGTGTGTAAGATTGTTATTATCTTTTTAAAGCGTCCATTGTACTGTGATTCTTGATATCGATTATTTTATAAAGCTTTGCATTTTCCGTTCGATGTGAGTAATGATCCGCTTTTATTATGTATAAGAATAAGAAATAATTGGGAATCGCAATATTCGATGTGTGTATGGAAAAATATAATGTCTGCTTCTTCAAATCGATCTTCGAGGGAGATACGCGGATTAAAAAGAGTGAAGTCTTACCTTCCCGGCAATATCGACGTCCGCGTATTTCTTTAGCAACGATTCCACTACACTTCGATGACCACCCTTAACGGCATGGATTAAATTCGTATCGCCGGCTCGATCTTGAATATTAACATAAGCGCCGGCATTTAGAAGAGCGCTAGTTATTTCGTGGTGACCTTCTCGGCAAGCTATCGCTAGGGCAGTGCAACCGTCCTTGTCTAGAGCGTTCACATTGGGTTTATGCTCCAATAGTAACAATACTACCTCCACATGGTTTCCGAGAGTTGCTACGAGCAGGGCGGTCCACGAGTACTACGAATAAAATTATTCAAAGAAACATATATCAGTCAGAAAAATATTAAAGCAGAGAGCTTTTGGAAATGTATATTATATCTCATAATCTTATTATGGTATAAGATTCTATTCTGATAAATGTCCTGATCTATATAAATAAAAAAGAAATCTATGAGATAAGAAGATTGTCTTATATATATGTGTGTGTGTGTGTGTGTGTGTGTGTGTGTGTGTGTGTGTGTTAACGTCAAAATATAGAATCAATTGTTCATTGTTTCAAAATTGTAGTATTTTTTTAAATTTCTTACCATGCCTGCTGTATCGACATTGGCCCCAGCCTTGAGAAGCATATCAACTATTTCTACGTTTCCTTTGCGCGAAGCCCATATAAGTGCCGTGGTGCCATACTAAAAAACAATAAAGACAGGTCATTTCTTGAAAGTAAACTCGATAGCCATCGATTTGCGATACGCTTGCCTAACGATTACCTTGTCGCCGACATTGACCTTCGCTCCATGAGCAATGAGATCTCTTATTATATCGGAATAACCCCTGCCAGCGGCCCATAATAATGCGGGAATATGATAATTTCCATGGGCGTTGACGTCAGCTCCACGCGCTAGTAGCATTGTCACCGTCGCCGACTTGTTCTTGTACGTCGCCCACATAAGCGCCGTCCAGCCACCCTATAATAAGATAGACCTTGATCCTTTAAATATTCTCATTTATATGTAGAAATATCACTTATTATGTAAAAACATTTATATGATTATTATTCCATTAAATTTTACTTTTCTTTTATTGAAGAAAAATGCAAATTAATTTCTAAGAGTCGGAAAAGAATATATACATAATCACGTTAAAATTATGTATAATGTTATATAAAAATTTTAATATAAATAAATATGGATAAAAATATAATCTTTTTAATCATAAAATAAAAAGAGACTTGGTTTTAATTTATTTGATGTAAAATAGAACTAGTTCTTGTCGGGTTTTCAATTATAAATCTATATTAATGGCACTAGGCCAGGTTAACAAGATATACAATTTCCTCTGACCATGTCTCGATGTTCCAGGTCGGCGCCATGCTCCAACAACTCGAGGCAGACCTCAGTGTGGCCTTCCTTCGCCGCGCATAGCAATGCCGACCAATCATCCTGAAAGAGTAATGTAGAAAATTTGTATATTAGAATTTTAATCTATTCTGAATTAATTTAAGTTTCTACGAACCGCGTCTTCAGCATTGACGTCCGCTCCATGATTGATGAGTTCTCGAACGAAGTGTAGTTTCCCTTTAGTTGCTGCAAAGATGAGGGCAGTACTACTATTCTGTAATAAAAAAATAATTTGTCAAAAAATTCATAGATTCACGAGAAAGAAAATATGATAAATATGAATAATATAATAAATATGAAAAAAAATTTTTTTCATGATTGTTATTCATTCGCGATTTGATGTATCAAAGGAGTTATCAAATATAAATATATATCGTTTATATTATTCTTTCTTTATAATTTTTTATGTGATAAAAAGATTTTCAACATCTATTTACATTTTATTTAGATTTACGTATATTTTATGTAATTTTTTTTTATATAATTTGATTATTTTGGAATTTCTGGTAAAAAAAAGAATGAAATTAAGTTCTCGATTTTTCTCGAGAATCTTTTTGTTAAAACAATCTACCTCATCTCTGTCGTCGATCTGCACTCGTTTGTTCTCGAGAAAACTCTGCAGTCCGACGAGATTATCATCTTCAATGTAGCTCGTAAGTGATCGATAACAAAGCGATACCATCGATATCGAGTCAGTCCGATGCAATGTCTGTGAAAATAACAAAAAAATTCATTGTTAGATTTTAATTAACCGCATCTTTGATTCTTATCGTTGTTATTAAAAGACAAAACTTTATTGTTGTTATTAAAACAAAACTTTCATGGATAAGATTAGATAAATTGAATTACTATTCGCAAAAGTCACATATGCAAATTACAAATTGCATTATTCTGTTCTAAAACTTAACACAAATAATATTGCACAAGTATTGTTATTTAGATGTAATCTTTTACAGTCATATTGTAGCTAAAAGTTTTATATATGATAATCTGCATTGATAATCTAAATATCTAATTAAAGTAAGTAAAATAATTTTTATAAAAACTTGTTATCTTTTCGATGTGTATTTATAATTAATCTTTTAATCTGGAATTTTTATTCAATTATTTCTCTTTGCAATGCTGAGACTCTTTTAAATTAGACATTTAATATTATTATAATGTAATAATATTACTAAAAATATATGCTGACAATGAATATATAAAATAGCTAATGTTTAATAATAATATTCAAAGAAATTTTTTTAAATTTATTTATTAAATCTCTCTTCTTCGCATTAATTAATCAAAAAGTCTCAATTACACATGCAGAATTACTGTAATCCATATAATGTCTTATCAAATATTCGATGTAAATTGTACAACCATAAATTATAGAGCTTTCGAGATATCAAGATATATGAGTAGCCAAGCAAGCATCAATTACCGTTATAGGGCAATCTTGTGACATTAGTATTAATCTCAAGTGATGAACTGTAAATAAACCAAGAAATCCGCCTCCTAAGATCACTGAAGTTTGAGTTATTACAGATCTTATATTGCACACTTTCTAATTAAAACTTGTGCCTTTAAAGTATTCAGGTTCTCAATTCCAAAATAAAATATAATATTTTTTCGATTAGATTTCAAATAAAACAGAAATCAAACCATCACACAATTGAGTTTCTTCTCTTTTGTCGAAAAATATTAGACTTTTGTAATAATAATAATATTGTATTATATAGAATACGAAATTATAGTAAATTGTAAAGAACATTGACCATAATTGTTTTTATTTAGTTGCAATTTTTGAGCGCTCGTGCTCTGTCAAGAACAAAAATGGAAAACGCTGCTTGCTTCTTGACATTTCAGAATGGAATCTGGGTCAATAATACTAAATACGTAGATGATAAGGGACAATCACGTGTATGGCGAAGAGTTATAGTGTTAATTGTAGACTATAGATGCAAAACCAAGTAAAGGCTGTCACAGTTCAATTTTTAATATTTTTACTATGCAATGTGTAAATAAATATATTTTATTATTTGCTACTTTTTATTAGTAATTATTTTCATGCTTTTTCTATATTTATTTCTAATATGTTTCTCTATCATTTTTTAGCAATTACATAATTTTTTTGTATGCCATTCTATAAGTATGTTAATGATTTAAATAATTTACGCGTTAAGATAGCATTTATGCAGTAAAATTTGATTTTATAATCAACTCTATTATAATGCTTCTCTAAGATTGAACTTTGTTTTACCATTGTATTTACCAGACAATCTAGAACATATAGACGTTAATATCGTACAATCAAAATACATTATTAAGCATCGAATAGCACAGTTAGAAGAGATATAATTTTATAACAAATATCGCATATACTTCTATTAGAAGATGTTGTAAAAGCAGTTAATGACATTTCGCCTTAATGTGAATTATCGATGGTCTAGAACCTAATGCGCGTCTTGACATTTATGATATATATAGGGATAATGCTATGAGATTATACCCTCTTTGACATGTAAATCGTTTTCTATCACTTGCAACAATAGACGATAATAGTAATAATTATTGATCACTTTTTCTCCTACAGCATATTAAAATTCCAAATTCTATTGTGACATTTAATGTAGGAATATTTACAATGATTAGTTAATTTAATTACATATATTTAGTCGTCCGGTATAAACTAATATATGCATTATTCTATTAATACTTGATGTGTTAGATTTAAAAAATAAATAAATATCTAGTTAAAGAAAATAGGACTGATAGTTTGCGATGCACACAAATATATAAATCCGCGTACCCTTTTCTCTTGTGACGTGAAGTAAAGATTCTAAAACGTATTCTCGCATGAATCTTCGTATATCTTTGGATTATTCCGAAGAAAAATCTCTTTTTGATGCTTTGGAGAATCCCTTATGCTTTCGGGAAATACGGCACCATTCTTCGTTTACTACGGTCCAATCTCTACTGAGTAAAAATTCGATGTTGCAGCGTGCAAAATACATCCACACATACATCACACACGGTTAGAAGTGCATTAGATCAGCTCTACTTCATGCGGTCGACTTTGTCACTTTATTGAAATCATTGACGTAGTATGGCTTGTACACATATCATAGAACGATGTGTGCTTTGCATCAGGAAGAGCGTCACTGTATTTAATTCGCAAACATCGGCGGATATAACGCGAGCATCAGCTGTAAAGATCGATGACAGAACCGAGTCAGACAAAATTCCATTATATATGTACGCACGTGCCAATTGGCCTTCGTAAGTGTTTCCAGAATTTTCTAAATATATAGTAAGAACTGGAAATGTGTTTTTTCGAATTAAATTTTCGATGAAATTAATCTACGATACGTAAAAAATTTAGCAAATTATCTACCAATCGAGTTACGAGAAATACGTCATTTAATTAAAGTAATAATAAAAATATAGAATTATAAACACAATTAAAAGAGTTCCTAAAGTATCTAGTCACACAAAATTTCGAATATTTTTAGACTTTTTACAATATTTCTAGAAATTAAAATTTTGTTACTTAAATTTATCTCAATATTTCCTAAACGAAATCGTCCAATCGGTAGTGATAAAATAACAGACAGCTGATATCTAAAATAATTAGCAAATTATTGACCGTGATATGAAATGACTCTTATTCACGGATGAAATTTATTCTCTGGCTATAAATGCTTAAGCAATTCCGATAAGATAAAAGCTCAAGTTACGTCATACAACGCTATTGTCGTCAATCTTCATTGTAATTGCAGTAATTAAAATTAATTATTTTTATCTGCAATAATGTTTACCTGAGAGTATCGTCATCGAATAGTTTTCGATTCGAATAGTGTCGAGCTTAATCAGACATGTCAATTTAAAGCGTGAATTATTTTAAGCGGAATGTATATACGGATTAATTGAATCTATAGTGTTATAAAGACACTCACATCAATGTCTGGCCAACGTGACATGTGATTTCCATTGCTGTGGTGGCTTCACTATATTCAATAAAATCACTATTAACAGTTTTAATTCTTTTGTTTAATGTATTAACACAATCTAGTTATTCTGAACCATTCCTACAAACATTAATAAATTAACTAATCAATTTAACAATTAATTATATAAAGCATCGAGCTATAAAATGAAAGTAAATTCATATAATTTGTGTGTTACTATCATATTTAAAATGAATCTTAAAATTATTAGTATCCATTCTTGCTATTTATTTATTAATAACGTTATGTTATTACTCATTGTTAGCACACCTTTCCAATCTAAGAAACAAGATATTTTATATCAAGCTTATTTGGCTCAAATTTAGCCAGACTCTCACTTCTCAACAGGTTAGCAAAAACGATGATGCCAACAAAAACGACGTGCTCTCCGTAAGTTCACACTAACCCCTTGCGAGTGTCTTCGGATGGCGAAGTTGAACTTGCGGCCAGTGCCATCGGCTGGCGCCGTGAAGGTGATGGTAGGTACATGAATATGCGGGAACACATGATGATGATGGTGATGATGATGATCGTGCTGATAGTGATGATGCAAGTGCTGATGATAGTCCTCGTCGTGCCATCGTATCGTGTCGGGATGCGAGCCGGGTATATGAAGGCGGAGGAATGACTTCAATCCGCGACGCGTTTTACCGATGGAAGTATCGTCGCTGATGGTAGTGGAAGCGGTTGACAAGTTTGATAAAGTAGCACTTCGATGCAAATTACCGTCTCTGTGATCTCCATTCGGTAAGAGGGAGTTCGGCACGCCCGGAATAGCTCCGAGCAAGCTCGGAGCCAGACTGGAGCAAATCGCCGCGTTCGCGATGCTAAACTTCCGGATAGGATTCACGCTAGTCCCGGCTAGGATGTCCTCGAAGGTTGGAAATTGTTGAATGGTCGTGGTGTTCTTCTCGTGGAAGGCGGACTGGCTTAAATCAGCGGTTGTCATCGGTAACGTTGATCTGCGACTATCGTTCTTGCTAGATTTCTCGAGACTATCTTGCGCAGTAGTTGTCACTAAAGGCACTGATTTTATGGCGTGTACTTTTTTGGTATCCGAGTGAGGGTGTTCACCGGTCGACTGCTCTGATGATTTTGGAAAACAAAAGTATTCACTGAATTCTGAAATCTCTGAAGGAATTTCCAACAAATTTGGTGTTAATTGAGAATTTCTTGATTTGTCTATAGTAGCTGAGATCGTGTGAATGTGTGCTTCCTCGATTGAAGGTTCAAATCTTGCCGACGAGTTCTTCGCAATGAAAACCTTGTGCTCGGAGAAGACTTTGTCGGAATCCGCCATCGGTACTGTCAGTTTTTGCGTTTCGATTTTTGAAATCGCTTCGCTATCCTTGTTATAATCTTTTTTTAAAATATGATGCTCTAAAATCGCACATTCATCCGCAGTATTCAAGGTCGACGAAGCTTTCGATCGAAGATCGGAGTTTTCAGACGGCTGTAAGTGTTTAAAAACGCAACTTTGCACACACGATGTAGAAGGCAAAAATTCAGGCTCGGATACAGCTAAGTTTGCGGAAATTTCAGTTTTTGCAATGCTGGACTTTTTGCTAGTTCTTATCGAGCCATCATCAGATGTCTGCGAAAATGTTTTGTTCGATTCTTTTATTAGCGATGCTTCCTTTTCATCTTCCTTCTCGCTGTCTTCTTCATCAAAACTGATGCGGAAGAAAGCTGCCGCGATTTTAATATGCTCATCTTTCTCAGTTTTCCGCATGGCATTCTCTTCTGATTCTCTGTTCAATACGAAAATCGAAAACTGCCTTCATTGGCTGTGAGTGAAAGATATGTATGATCATTGAATTTTTAATAATATTTGACTACACTTTTTATTGTCTAAATACGAATCATTATATGATAACGTATGGATCTAAAATAATCAAAAACCTGCTATTTAAAAAAATATGTGTTAATTTAATGTAGATAAGTAAGTCGATAATCATTTATATCTTTATACAGAATAATTAATTGTTTTTTAATATCAAATTTGTGTAATAAAAGAATGATTGTGTGATAAAAGAATGAAATATGATTTGGTTTAGATTATAAGACATTAAATGTATGTTTCATAACAATTTAGAATAGTCAAATTTTAAAAAATGCAACTTATAATTTTAAAATGTGCATTATGTTAATTCATTAAAAAATAATAAATGTTTAAGTGTATATGTTTCATGGGAATTTTTTAAAACATCTAAAATTATTTTTTCAAAAGGAAAGCTTATTATTTTAATATGCGATAATTTTTTATCTCTTATTAAATTATGTTCGCTATAAACGAGAAAGAAATGGTAATTAACTATAGATCGAAGACTGAAAATAGTAAACAGTTTCGTTCAATTTTTAATACTGCGGGAAAAATTAATCGTTATAATAAAATAAATACTCTCGAGAACAATCTCAATTGATCACATTCAATCCCTGCAATTAACTTGCCCTGAAGAGATCGACCGTAAGATTAATTCTAAGTTATCGATATATATACCGTGAGAAACGGACCCTCGATAGAAGAGGGGTGAGTCGAAGCATCTTTTCCAATTTCGCGTTATTCCTCGTTTGGCGATCCAGCTGATCTGGCTCAGCTGATCCGGCAGCCACTACTTCCCATTGTTCGCGCGACTTTTCTCTTGAGTACAATTGCAAAGAATGTATCGGTCGGTCCAGAACTGCGAGCCACAAGACGCCGACAAATCGTGAACAATATGTGAATACACGCGCGTCATTTATATATCGCGGTGGGATCTCTTTAATGCTCGGGTACATATATACAGTCTGAATCATGTTCGCCGCGGGCTTCGTGCGTAACGGCATATGTTGCGTATCATCACAGTGCCGTACATTCCGAGTTTCCTTGTTCCGTGTTCGGAAATTATTTTTCTTCGTGTGACATATTGCCGATTTCGGTTTAATATCGACATATGCATGTTTAGAACCTTTATTATTATAAAAATAGAATTTATATATATGTAAAATTTAATTTTATATATAATTAAATTGTATGTAATTTAATTAATCTTATATAAAATATAAAAAAAATTAGATTAATATTAGAAAGATAATATAATTAAATTAAAAGCATATAAATTGATTCGATAATATAATTAATTTAAAAGCATATAAATTGATTCGATTATTTCTATTTTTAAATGAAATATTTTTAATAAACCTCATTGTTCAAAAGATTTTATCAAAAATATTTTATCTAAAAAGAGAAATAATCAAATCAATTTATGCTTTTATATATTGTGTTATCTTTTTAATATTATTTCTTAGAATAGCGATGCATAATTGGCGAACACTTATATATCTAATTTTCACAATAGAAACAAAAAGATTTATAGTATTTATTATTTACAGGAAAAATGTTTTACGAATTGAAATAGATCGCCCATTAATTCAATGATGCAAAAGATTGAAAAAAAGTACAAGTTTTTCTTTCCAATACCGTTCATAAATATAATCTATACAGAAGAATAAGTGATGCATGAAATACGTCATTACTTGGAATGCGTATAGAATTGTTCAAGGCAGAGTTCCGGTGGGCGGACCGGATAAAAAAAGAGGTTTTATATAGAATGACATGTATATATATAATGATGTGTTACTGATCTGTAATAATTATGCGGCACAGACATAATTGTAAGCACTTTGTAATCTTCCGCGATTAATCCTACGATTATATATGTTGTGGATTCAGCGCGACGACAGTTTGATTAAACAATTTGTAAACCGTGATAAACTCGCGACGCATTTAAATTGTGATTTTTGTTTAGCTTCGCTTGCAGTAGCGTATCTACTGACCCAATTAAGAGCTCGATTAAGAACACGAATCGATCTTTAATTAATGAGTGCGTGTGTGTGATTAGATTACATGAAATTCTCAGTATCCTACGCATAACCAGATACGTTGCAGATACGTAAATAAATTTCTGTAATTAATGAAGCATTCATTCACTATATTATACAACACGTGTAATCGAAATAGATTCTAGATAAATATAGAAAGTCTGCATCATATGTCACTTATTAGAGAAATATTAAGCAATCAATGAGAGCGTTAAAACGTTAATTGAAAAAAAATATTTGTAAATAATTGATGAATTTTCAATAATATTATAAATCAAAGATATAAGAATAAAATTAAGAAATTTTGTGTTGTATCACAAATACTTAGAATGCGAGCGTACTCTTTTTCTTTCTCTTCCTCTTGAAATAATATATTTCTAATCATAAACAAAATCTTGTTTATTTTATATAATTTTATTTATTTATTTTATTTTTTAAGACTTTTAATATTTCAATGATTTGATATAAATACTATATATTTATAGATTTTTCTAATTATTGTATAATATATTTTTACATATATTATCATATATTATTGCAATTATCCAATTATGTATGTATATATTTTGATATATGTATACTTAATTGTGCTTTTCTTTTGTACTCTAATAATAAATATTGTAAATATTCCATCATAATGATAAGAGAAAAAAAAGATGAAAAGCAAATTGACTACAGAATATTGCTTTACTTTAAACATGGATGTCGCCTTTAACGGCATTCGCCGCGGTTAGTTCTCGCGCTAATCTCAACCAATTAAACTCTCGGTAAACTAATCAATTGTGTGTACGTGGAACCTTTACTAGGCTTCATAAAACGAAACGATACGACGCCATTCGGCAAGACAGTGTCATCATCGCTGCACGGCAAAGAACAATGAGCTACTTACATTCTATTGTTTCTTGTGAAAATTTTCTAATGAAATTTTCTAACAATAAATTACATTTTCTCTAAATACGATAAATTTACGATAAGTTTTAAAATTCCTTCACCTGATTAAACAGATAAACGGCAGAAAAATAATTTTGCTAATGCGGTCGAATTGGTGAATTATGTTTGCGAATGATGATGATATGGAATAGTATTCTAGAAAACAAGTTCACGCACAAGAATCGAGGAAAAATTCGTTATCAAAAAATATTGTCGTAAAAATTTATTTCAGAAACATTAAGAAATTTAGGAGTAATTTTCTAACTCACTTTTTTAAAGAGAATCGAAAAATTTAATTCTATAATTCTAATTTTAACACAAAAATCCTCTTAATAATAATTTTTTCAAGCTTTTAAAAAATTAAATAGATTGTTTAATTATATTGAAAACATAATAACTATTTGGAAATATAATAACTATTGAATTATTATTCTGTGTCATAAGTTTTCAATTCAGATAATCGGTTAATTAAATTGCAAAAGTGCAACATTCGAATATTGAGACATCAACTAAGAAAGCGACGCATCGTCACGCGTATAATAATATAATAGCAATCAATGAATATATGATAGATAACGAAGGACGATCGTAAAATCTGGTAGCAATAATTAATGAAATAGACCGGACAAATCGAATCGTAAAATTTATTATTGCTTGCAGATGCGTCAGTGCAATAGAAATTAATGTGTAAAGATAAATTAAAATTTTCAAAAGAGAATCTTATTATTTTCTTTTAATAATTTTTCTTTAAAATATATAAAAAAATATTTGATATATTTTTATTAATTATCACATCTTCGTAATGTTATCAATTTATTATTATTGCAATCTATTGTGCAGATGCAAATTGATATTATTAGTCTTAATAATCAATAATCCGGAATTTTTATATATGTTTTAAATTACTATATCCATTCATGTGACATTAATAAGATTCCTGTCCCTATCATTGAGACATCGTTGCATATCACGTGTGAAAGATAAATATATCGACAACTAAACGTATATCGGAAACCGATGAAGCATTTATAATTATGTGACAATATATATATATATATGTGTGTGTGTGTGTGTGTGTGTGTGTGTGTGTGTGTGTGTGTGTGTGTGTGTGATGTTCTGTTTTTAACACATGTTATATAATTTAATCCAATGGTATATTATAAATTTGTACAAATAAATTTCTTCATTTCTGGAAATTTTGTCATAAAGAATTTGTATAATATTCTTTTCTTTTACATTTTTACATTAGATTTTAATAAATATAAATTGTAATAAATAAAAAAGTTCATATTCCTCAGAATTAGTCGAATAAATAATTCAGAGGATTTGATATGATGTCACATAATCAATCGTCCTCGATTTGGTACGAGATCAAATTCATTATCGTAAACAGATTATGAACAATTACACCACTTGATTATCAAGTAATGATTATTGCATATTTTATCATGTTTTTAATTAATTGCACGTAATTTATTTGCATTTTATATAAGGGTGTCAATTTTCAAAATTATTTTTCTAGAATCGCATTCAATTAATTATACTAAAATAATTATAATAACTAAAATAATTAAGATTCGACTAAAGATGTTCAAATTATGACAATATTTTTTCCGATAAATAATCATTAATCCAAGACAATATAATTTATTTCAATAAATAAGAGTTACATCTTAGTGTAAAATTATATATATATTATCACATATAAAATGTTTAAAAAGAATTATTTTAAGAAAATACAATTTTAAGTCTCTAAAATATTTTAGATTAAATTTTAAAAAGTTTCTTTTACGTCAAAAAGGAATTTTATTCTATTGGACGGAAGCATTTATTATCGCATATAATTTTGATTCAAAATTTCATCATCCCTCATACAATTTACGTCAAATGCGACAAACATCGTGAACTAAAATATCTAATGTCGTTTATTCTAAGCCGACTAATGCTGTAAACATCGACAAAATAAATACGAAAATAGTATAGTAATTACTATTCGCCAGATGCGTCATGAATTCCACTGATCATTTATGCATGATATTTACTTCAAAAATTTCATAAATTGAAATTTT